TTTTGCACTGCAAAATCTCAAATTGACTGTGCAAGGTTTAATGCCGGTATTGTAGATTTGACAAATTTAAGCTAGTTGAATTAGACTAAACCTACTACTGTAGTTCTATTTTATCTCTACTGATTTGTAAAGATAAAATACAACTAGCAAGTTTTATATTTACTAATTACATTTTGTTTCTTTATACCTTTACTAATGATGCTTTAAGACAACGCGACACATGATCGATCTGCCGAAGAAGGAATGCCTCCTAGGAGGTCTTTTATGGGAAACTGGCCCCTATTTAGCTGTTTCTAAGGAAGAAAACCAACATGGCCAGCCCGTTGGAGAAGCACGAACCCACAACCAACTATCGGTGTTCAGTAGTTTTATTCAGTCGGCCACTAGTGGGCTACAGATAAAGATAGTGCTGAAAGGTGTACCGGTATATAAAATTAACTTTAGAAGTAGTAACTCCTAAAGTTAGACTAGTACAATGTCATCAGACATTTCTTTGATAAATTAGTAAATTTTTTTATTGGGCCATTTTTAAAATGCTTGATTTTTAATATAGGGGTGGCAGATAAAAAATGATATTAGCATGAGAGGTATCTAAAAAATTGGTGACAACACATTTGAATGACCATCTGATGTTTCCTTAGAGAAAGGTTCCACACAAATTTTTTGTTTAAAATAATGATATTTATTTCACCACGTCAAGAATAATCATAAGAACGAATCATTTTTTTTCTGCTTTTCATGTTGCCAACCACGACGTTTCCTCGATGGTGATTCCACCTATCACCACAACCCCATTAGAACAAGTAAGACTCGTGACATAATAGTCTAACTACATTTCGAATTCAAAAATATTTGTCTAACGAGTAAGATTAATCTCGAATTTGTATCGGGACTAGTTTCGATTAGTTTCAATAGGACTACAACACACCAGAAAAGGAAGATAAATACAGTAGCCATTATTCTGAATCCCGAATTTAAAAACTATAGCGCTTCATAGAAAAACCTCTGGAAGAAGGAGAAACATAAAATATTCAAAATGAGAAAGATGCTACTTGATCATTTTATTTTATTCGATATTTATTATAATTCATGTATACAAGATCATAACCTAACATAAACTTCTATTGGAAAATCAAACTTAGAAATCCTTCAATATAAAATAATCATTGGAAAAATTTTCTTTCCAAGTTTTCCTTTTAAAAGTTTTCTTATATATTTTTTTTTATAAACAAACTTTTTTTTTAAATTGTTGGATAATTGCCAAGTAATACAGTATATAAAGTTAGTTGGCAATTAGCCATATTGGTTAATTTAGAATTAAACAACGTGTGAATCATATTAAAAAGATTTCATAATCATTACATTGTTTATTCAGTCCTCTTCGTTCTGTATACTTCAAGAGTACTATTACATTATGCCATTATAATGGCCGGATGGCTGCGGCAATTAATACGTCAACCAACGCTTTATGAGGTCCTTTTATTTTTGGCTCTTTCCGCTCTACGGGTAGCAAGGCCTTTTTAATCATACCCATCGTGGATTCGGCCGGACCTATAATACGGCGGGACGAGTAGTGAGGAACGAGACTCAACACATCCAAGACAGCCTATGAAAAAATTCCTGGGATTGCTCACCTGAATTTGATACCTGATTCTTAGAGTAATAGATTGACTCCTTAACCGCCTTAGCCATTTGGCAGTTACTGTGAGAGTAGCAGCATTATCGTGGTTTCGGCTAGGTCCACGAGGAGTATGATTAAAAATCCCTCTTAATGCCCACAGGGCAAAAAGAGTAAAAAGAAAAAATTATGCTCATTTTAAGGATTTTTTCTATCTACAGTGTTTTATTCACTCGGCCCTTATCAGTGGCCGAGTGAATAAAACACTGAACACTGTAGTTAGTCATGGGTTTGCGACTCGCCGAAGGGCTGGCCATGTGGAGTTTTCCGGGTTTTCTTCAGGTCGGTGACACCTAAAGTGGGGCCAGTTTCCCATAAAAGAACTCCCGTGAAGCATTCCCCTCGACAGATCGCTCATGTGTCGCGTTGTCTTAATCGAATAATACCAATATCAGTAGGGTGGTCATTTAATGAGGAACAGGATTTGATATATCAGGGCAGTGGCATAGCTTCATTTTCTGAGATATTCTTCAGATATAGAGGATTAAGAAATAAAAGCAGGAGAATTCCCTGTTCATTAACCCAGGAATTTTGGGATGAACCGGTAGACTAGTTCCACTTAAGCACGCGTGATTCAGGGCTACTACTTAGATTAGCCAACTTTTATCAATTAGAATGCTTTTAAAATACGCGGCAAAGTGGCAAGCTAATCAGCAGAAATTGAAAATTATAATCTTTCCAGAATTTTTTAAATAATAAATCTGCGGACTACGAACAGGCAACATTGATAACAGTATCAGATCAATAATCAGTACAAACTACAATATTTTAAGGGTAAAGATTTGATTTTGTTTACAACGCTACATATGAACAATCTTCCGAGGGGGATGTTCCCCGGAGGACTTTCCATAGGAAACTGGCCCGTATTTAGGTGTTAAAATATCTATCAAAACAATTTTATGTTATTGCACACATACTGTATTAGTAAGATTTTGCCTAAAATAAAAATTAAATGAACTCTTAACATGGAATAAAATTTAAAATCGAAGTGTAAAAGTGGACTCTCATTCTTGCGTATACTACGCTCATTACATCATCATAAAACAATAAAATGTGTTTAATTAATACTATTATAGTCAACTAAGACCTATCTTATTAATAGGACATTTACACTGGTGTGATAGTTATTTGCAACAAGTACGAATTCTTAATCAGAAAAAAACAAAAACTTTATTTTTCAACTGTTGTTCCTGAAAAAAAACGAGAACGTAAAGGCAAGTAAATTAATAAAATGTGATTTTCACCCGACTGATTTTTAAAAATTTTTATTAATTTTTTAAAAAATTCGAATAGTAAACGCTTGCTTTTTCAAACCATGGTTACTAGGTAAACTGGTTGGGGAGCAGAGCAGTTAAAATTCAGACTAAAAGTGGGTCGAGTATATACAAAGCGTATATAAAACTAATGATGTAACTCGACTTCTAAATATAAATTAAGACCTTTCCGAATATATTTAAATTCAGAATGGAAAACTTTTTTTTTTTTTTTTTTTCAAAATTGCAGAGCTACGCTTCCGAATAAATGACAAAAAGTTATGTTTAATGTGATCTAAACTTGCACGCTGATTTTATCCTTTCCGGAGAACTATTGTGTTTTATTTTTCTGGTAATAAGTTGATTGATGATTTTCTAAATAAAAATTGAATCGTTTGCAAAATATATTTTCTCAGAAAATTCGATTAAAATATCTTAAATCCTTACAAAAGAAATATAAATTAATTGTATTATTATTGAATGAATCAATAAAAATAAAATAGTTTATAATTAACTCAAAGCTTTCATAAACTGAGATTTGTAAGTTTTTTAAAAACTAGTCTTTTTTTTTAATTTAAAGTTTTCATTTTAATATGACTTAAACTGAATGTATACAATAATAAAAACATTCTACACAACTATTATTATTTTGGCAATACATTCTTAAAAGGTTAGAAAAAGTTTATCTCCTTACTGGCTTATTTTATAAAACACCATAAATGAATCGTCAGTTTCCATTGTTGTTAACTATATTGATGACATATAAATCAAAATGGAGAAATTAATCCTTAAAAGAGAAAAAGATATCTTTAATTAACTGATAGAAATAGATAAGAAATCAAAAGAAAGCAAGTTTTGGAACAGTTTTATTTACAAAATCATTTCTGTGTTAGAACAAATAAAATAAATATAGAATATACTTCAATATCCAGTTTATTAGCAATATTTACATAAAATTATACAAAATTTATTATAGTTATGAATTAACTTAAGAAAGTTGTCCTACTTAATATAAGTGCCACAACTTTCTTGATAATTTAATGTTATTGTTGGAAACAAATGTGTTATTTCTCCACCTGCAAAAAAGTGCAGTCTGCAAATGATGTAAAAAATATACAACTTTTGCTGTAATAGCAAATCTGTGTTTGACATTTTCACATCCCACTTGCTTATGTGCTAGCCAGGAATCTGCCAACAGAGTTGTAATGATTTTTGCATAAATATCACTACTAGTACAAGATTCAAGGCTGGATGCAATACACTCTTCTATCAACTTAAGCAAATTAAACAATTGGTTTGTTGGATATAGCAGATAACCACATCTTAATATCTGTGATCAAAGTAAGTGCAAATGACAAAAGAGTTTCTGTCACCAATGAGAATGTGCACTTTTTACACTTTTTATCTATGAGAAATCAAGCAACATAGCCCCCAAGAAAGTAGATAACACAATCTTCCTCTTCACATTAATAGTCATGTTCACAGAGAGTCAGTTGCTCTCCATTTATCTTCATGAGCTGCACACTCAGGGTTGTCAGAAATCACTTCCAGTTGATTTTGCAACTGCTTTTGTAGATTGGTTTTGGCAGAATTCTTTTGAATTGAAGAATCTTTTAATTTGATATGGATGTCAGTTTCTTTATATTCTACATTTGTCCATTTAGGTGGACTCACTAAGGAATATACTGACATGAGATGGTAGAGAAAAAGAAACTGGATGATGTGGGATGAGAAATACCTGATGCATCATTCCAAAAAATTGCTGACAATAGAAAATTTATCATCATCTGATAAGTTTACATTCACAACTGTATATGTTTCAGGCTTTCCAAGTTTCCCAGTGATTCCAAGGGAATGTAGTGCATCCTTCTTAGTTGTTGACACACAGTATCTGTGACATTTCTGTGTACATACTGTCTATCTGGACCTTGTTTATTAATTAATAGGACTTATTATACTGGTATAGTTTCTGATTAGCAAAAAGAGATTTTAGTCAAAAGTCAAAACAAAATATCTTAATCTGAAAATAAAGATATTTTGATTTTTGACTAAAATCTCTTTTTGCCAACCAGAAACTACAACAGTATAGTAAGTCCTACTAATAAAACAAGGCCCACGTAGACAATATATACACAGAAATATAAAAAAGTAAAGACAGAGATAAAAAGAATGAATGAAACAGTACTTGTGACTTCAACATGGCATTTTCCTTAGGCAATAACAGCTCTAGTAAGAAGAATGGATAAAGTTATACCAGGAGTAGCTCCTTTGCAACAGAATGAGGCAATTGTTTGAGTCTATCCATCTAAAAAGGGCTAAAACATAAAAACCAGAGCATGATAACCTTCAGCATTCTGCTGGGCAAATGTAGCTTCAATGTCACCAAAATCAACATGTCTAACAAATGGTCCTTTAAATTTGTCATAATTAAGGCAACCCAAAAGAAGATAAAGCAATATCCGAATCCAACTGTGGGTTGCTTACTGAAACCATGAAATGAATGCATACCATACCATTTCAAGTTATTATGCAAAAGTCATTAAGCAATAAAGCAGGATAAAGCAAGATTAAGAAACTTTGTCAAGGTTTCCGTTTTTTCCCTGTAGTCCAGTCCAACTCCCACACCTTATTGCCAATCATAGCAAGTTGTTAGCAAGATAGCAAGTTTTTTGAGAGCTGTAGCAGTGTACCGGCATCTATGTCCAAGGGTATGTTCATAAAGTGGAACAAGTTAAATGCGTTAGTAACGAATCGTTCGAATAATAGTAGTCTTGCTCAGTGTGCATGCTCTGCGGTGATGACGTTTTGAACGAAACTCTAATGAAGTTCATGAAGGAAAGTTAGTTCACTTCGTTAAGAAAATGGTGCCCAATGATATTGATGTTTCTAAATCTACTTGAGTGTTTAAACTGTGAATTAAAAGATGAAATGATAGAAATAACTGTCCACCCAAAGCAATCTAAAAAAATATTTCGGATAAGGCTGTACTAGTAACATTCATATCTTCAATTTTAGAAACAGTCATTTAGTTATACACGAATCGTTCAAAAAGTCTAACGAAGCAAGAATAATGATGTTGTTATTCTCGTTTAACTCATTCGACTTTATGAACATACCCTATATAAGTCAAAAATAGAGATTTTCTCATTTTTGTATATCCACTTGAAAATACAATATACCTTAGATCTTGGTTGCTTGCTGTTCTCTTTACTATATGTATTTACTTAGCATAGGGTTGCCGTTGAGAACAAATCACACAGGAATACTTTCAGTGGAAAAAGGTTGGTTTATTGATAGGAAAGGATATGCATTTTAGGCTTAATGCACCTCTTCAGTCCTATTATAACATTTATCAGCAAAATTATTAGAGTTACGGATTTACCGATTATATTGAAATATTTAGGATATGCATACAAAGGTTTATACAATAAAACATAATTACCCGAGATTATAGTGACTGTTAGAACAACACAACTCGTGAGAAGACATAGGTGAAAAAAAGGGGGGAAACCCTTATACACATTATAACAACATGTGCTAGAATAAACAGGGTGTAAACTTAAATAAAAAATTAAGTACATAATTAAGAGGCAGAATTTTTATAAAATTAATCTAATACCTGTAGGTTGCAAAATAATTCCAATGAAATGTACAAAAACATAGACCAGATAGGAGAGTTTAAAAAGATGTGAGTATTTCCTGTTTCATTCACTGAATGTTTGGTATGTTGACTTACACAGTGGGATACGATGGAGGGAGGTAGTACATCTTAATGGGCCTTGCTACTTAGTTAGGAATGGTTGCCAGATGTCATTGACGACTGCACCTGTATTAAGGTTCATTCTGTGTATTTCATTTGTTTTAATAATTCCAATGTGTTCATAAAGTTTTCTTATAATAATATTTTTTTTCTTTTTTAGGAATTTTGACGCTGTCGAGTGAGATCTCACAGCCTACTTGGTTGCAATGAGGGGTGACCGGTGAGTTGATGTAATCATACTTCACTGCTCTTATATGCTCTTTTATATGGATTTTTAATGCTCTGCTAGTTTCACCTATATAATAGTATTTTGGATGACATGTACAAGCAAAGGTGTAAACAATATTATTATTTAATAAAATGTCAGTATTACTATTAGTTTGTTCTTTGGATTTTAAGAAATTTTTGATTTTATTGTTTAGTGTGCATGCTAAATTATATTATATGGTGTTAGTATTCTTTGGATGTTTTCAAAAATAGTAGGGGTAAAATCTAATTTTTTGTAAATTATTTGTGTCTTTGGTTTGAGTTGACCTGATGACTGGTTGTGTAGCCATTTGTTGATAATTCTGTTTTGATAGTTATTTAATTGATAGGTGCAATAAACTTGGTCTATTTCTGTTTTGGTTAGTAATATCATTTGTACACGTTTTGATTTTGTTGACATACATATTGAATATGTTCTTTTTCATATACATGGGTTTGCTGTAGTAGTAATTGATTACTTTATTGATGTCACAGGGTTTTATATTTTTCTTTAAAGGTAATGAAATTATCAAGTCTTAGTATAATGATGTCTAAAAAATTAAGTTTGTTGTTATTTTCATTTTCTATTTTGAAACACATATTTTTCTGGATGTTGTTGGCATATTGAAGTATGATTTGAGGGTTGGTTAATTGTTTGTTATAAACAACAAAGCACTTGTTAACACAACGGTTGTAGAACATTATACCCTGAAGTTTATGGATAATATTGTTGATGTTAATCAGCAACCTTATGCTAAGAAAATACAATATGTCTTGTTTACCACATTTCTGTTCTTACTTATACTTTTCAAATTTAAAACTGTTATATTCGTATGGCCTCTGTCAATATCATTTTTACATATTAAAAACTTCATTTTCATACATTATGATGATTTAATAGTTTCCTTTCAGAAAAATTGTAGTGTCTTTGTATATGTAATACAGATGTAATGTTAAATAGAAATTTACTGTTTTTGTTAAATAAAATATTTATTTTTAAATTTTTACTTTGGATAATTTGCTATTTTTTTATTTTCTCAATTAAGAAGCAAGAAAGATAGCAACATTTTCTTTAAATGTAACAACTTTTCATTCCGAACAGTTGGCAATATTGCTCCCATCTCCCCAGGATCTCATAACTGTTATGTCTGATATATTGCAGTAGAGATTTGAATAATTCAAGTTTCTAATTTGGGAACATGTATTTTTTCATTGTATAAAATTTGAAGCAAGCAGGAAAAAGTATTTAATAAGATTTAAATCCTGGAAAGATATAATCAATATATCTATCACATTTTTCAAAAAACAATTATTATTGTGTATTTTACTTTATATTATCTTATACTAGGCTATTATGTTAATATCTTAAATTGTACTAACTTCAGCTTTATGTAACCCCTTTGTAACAAACTAAGGTACAAGCAATAAAGAATTGATTGGTAATTGTGTTTCATTGTATATTAAGACAATATCCAAGACACCAGTACAGCAGCTCTTTGATTATGTAAATTTCCCAATGAAGGGTTTGTAATAGAATGGATATTTGTGCTGAGTACTGCAAATAATATGATCAGCTATGAAAAGAAATTCATTGTAAGTACACATATTGCAAGACTGAAACATTGTAAGGGCATGAGTGCTAGCGACTGAAAAGAACTTTGCTGTTTACTGCTTCAGGAAGTAGTAAACCTTCAAGATGGAAGACATGGTTTCCATATTCTGTTCTGTGGGACTACCCTTGCACATTTTCCATCACAAAGGGTTTCAAAAGTGAATGAAGTCAAATTTAAAACTATCTCCAAGTGAAAACGCCTTATGAAAGCATCTTGCACAAGATTCTCCCCAATGCTGGAAACAGATTTAGACACTACTGCATGAATGTGTCAAGGTGCTGACATTCTGCGGAAACTAGATGAGTTGGTCAATATGAAAAACAGGAAAGTTATAAATACATTGGTTGAGTGCCTTGGAACCACTCTGTCTAGTGTGATCACAGATTGTAGAGAAGTGTAACAATGATATCATTGTCAAAGAAGTGTTTGCATCTCTTAAACTCTTGAATGTTGAGTTAAACAACTTTGTTGGACTTTTGACAGACAACACTCTGTATATGAATGCTACTGCTTTGAAACTCATGCCAGTGTGCATGAGATTGTTCCATATGACATGATGGGCACATTTTACACATTTAGTTGCTGAAGAAATGCACACTAAGAACAGCATCCTAATTATTTCATCTCAGGGATGAAGGCAGCTTTAGTAAAGGCAGCAAACAGAAGACATTCGTTGTAGATAGCTCTATCTGCCAAGAACCACTCTTTCACACTGCCAGTACCAGTTATTACTACTCCTCCCAGACATGGCTAAAAACAGTTTCGTACTACCATAAGAGGTGGAATGCTGTAGTGACATAGATTAGAGAAAATCAGACTATGGAAGAAACTGCATTGCAAGAACTTGGAGAGTTACTTGATTGTTCCAAACTTGAAGAACAGCTAAAGGCAATTGCAAGTCAAGCTGAAGCCTTATGCAACTTGATCAAGAAGCTGGAGTCAAATCTAAGGTTGTAGGAAGTGATATTTGGCAAATTCTTGAAGGCATTTGGAAACCGTTGGTACCATTTGGTATGGATTTAAAGCTCCAACTTTATCTAGATGGCAAACATCAAGCATGGCAGTTCTGGAAAGAGCTAGAAATCCTAGATCCAAATCATAATCAACAATGGACTTCCCAATTATGCAGATTCTCCAAAAAAGAGATAGATTACTATAATGCTTTTATCAACAATGAAAACAGAGCAGTGTGCAATATATAATAAATTTCTGGAAGCAGGGAAATGCTGATTTTGAGTAAGCTGGCATTAAAAGCTCTGTCAATTCCAGCAAGTAGGGCAGATGTGGAGAGGAGTGTTTCTTCCTGAACTATCTTATCAGGCCAAAGAGACCATCATTTACCAAGGAAAATTTGGACATTCATATTCACTTCATGTTCAGATGATTTATCAGAGTCAAAGATATACAGTAATAGTATTGAGAATCAGGTAAACCAATAAAAATGCAAAGAAAATTTGTGCTGAATGCAAGTGTAATTAAGAAAAATAAAAAAATTAGGTAGAGTAAAGCAAAAAATTTCTGTCAAAGCATATTATAGCAGAATTTTTATTTTTTAAAGCAGATATTTTTTGAAAATAAAGCAGATTGTGGGTTGCCTAAGTCCATAATGAAATTGCATTACAGAAGCATATACATCTCACATTAAGATTCCTTTGCATTCTTATGGATCCATTTATGCTATTTTATCTTTTAGTCTGTCAAACAATTCTGGATCAAATACGAATCGTGCATCAATGCCACTTATATACTTTCTTAAGGTAGAACAATCAGGAAGAGGCATATAATTATTTTTCCTCATAAACTCATAATTTTCAGGTGATCTTATTCTTAATAGCACACATTCTAAAATCCATTCAATGTCATACCTCATTCTACACTTATTTTTGCAATGTGACAAATGGACTGCATTAGAAATAAGTAATTTTTGTCTGTAAGGCAAATTTGTTTTGTTAAGTTGATGACTCTCTAGCTCTTTTTGGAGTTTGAGCATTCTTCTCTTCAGTTGCCTGTTTTCTTCTCTGAGATTCTTCTTTATTTTTCTGCAATTCTTTAACTGTTTGCGAAGAGAATACACCTGCTCTTTGCATTTAAACATTCCTGTAGAATTTCCTGATGAAGTAGATAGAAGTACTATGTACTTATTTGTAGAGATAGAAGATTCAGTGGTCAATTCTGGCAAAATCTCATCAGTGTTGACATTAGTCTCTTCTTGTTGTAGGATAACCGTAGGAATGGAAGCAGTCTCGACATTTTCTAATAAATAACTAAATCACTGAGATAACAGGTATTAGAAATAAATAAATGAATAAATAAAATTAACTTACCAGTAAATTTACTTTCTTTTGGAAGTTTATTTTCTTTTTCATTGACATAATTTATCCTTTTTGATGGTGAATTCCTTTCTTTTGGAAGTTTTCTTGTCAAATATTTAGGGAGGTTGGGAAATATTGTTGGATAAGCATCAGAAGTTAGGGTCCATTTCTCTCGTTCTATTTCCACAAGCTGTCCATTTATATGATGTTTAAAAGTTTTTATTATGAACCTTTCCTCGAAATGCACATCGCAGATGTTAGAATTATACCTTAGTTCCCTATCTTTCCTAGGAATTTTTATTTCCCAGGACTCTAAGAATTTTTTGCCTGGTTTAAAGAAATGTCTCTTCTCTTCGCTCTTGTTGCTTCTATAACCGCTTTTGCAGCCAGGAACAAAAAGTTGTAGGCATAATTAATGTCTATCCAAAAATTCAAAGAAATCCACAGATTCTAAATTTACGTGCCCCTTTTCGTAAAAACCGACGATTTAAATCCGAATCAACAATTGTATAATATAAAAAAAAACTTAAAAAAAGAAAATCAAAATAACTTTAAAATACATGAAAAAAAAAAACACGTGCTTATACAATCGAGCCTACCGGACGATCGGAACGCCAGCAGTTGTCCCTTCCAATCAATTCTACAAATAAATTTCTTATAAATTTAATTATATTAATATAAAAAATAACGTGTTAGGAAACGAATAAATATTAAAGTAAATTAAAAAAATATTTTAACACAATAACATTAAATAAATAAGCGAAAAAAAGTTCAAAATTTGCAGGTGGCGTTGCTTGTATTTGTAGCGCTTATTACAAAATATTAAGAAATAAACAAGATATGTTTTTATGAAAACGCTTTATGTATATGTAAATATAATGTTTTATATACTTTACAATAAGTAAAGGTATGTTATAAAATGGTTGAAGGCAAGTTACAGTTATGAACTCAGCCGCAAAAATAATTTCTTCTGCAAATTGTTTAGAAGGCGCTAATTGGGAAATTTATTCAGACGATGATTTAGGTGTTGAGAGTTTATTCGAAGAGATTGATAAGAAAGGTAAAAATTAAAATTAAGTATTTATCACAATACATTAACTGGGAAATGAAACCTACGAAACAAAAGGGAATCTATTTATTAAATAATTATATACAATCCATAAAGACCTGAACTGAGAATTAAGATAAATATAAATAATAAACTTGAGATCTTACACTGCAGATACAAACATTACACAATGGCTGCGTTCAGCAGACTCGGCAGTTTTGGAGCCATTGAGTATTTTTCTTCTGAATGCCCTCTACAATAGCGCTCTTTCGGAACATGTTTGGTGTTTTGACGTCACATTTGGTAGCGTCTTTCATTTATGCTACCTATTGCTACCTGAAACTGACCGATGAGGCTTTTTGGTCTGACGCGATGTCACTCTTCATTTGGCAGATCCATGTTGCTACATAACAGCTACCGATTTGCTTGGTTACAACTGTTGAATGCAGCCAATGACTCAAATGCAATACAGTGAACAAAATTGAATCGTTAATCTAAGTTACATTATTGAATATTAATTGAATTGTCAAATATCTGAAATGTTTGCCCTATATACAATGGCTGCATTCAGCAGACTCAACAGTAGTTCTGTTTTGGAACATGTTTGGTATTTCGACGTCACATTTAGTAACATCTTTAGAAACTATTGCTACCTGAAATAACCAATGATGGCTGCTTTTTGTTTCAACGTATATGTTACTTGTTTAGCAGATGTAATTACGTAACAGCTACCAGTTGAAACACCTTTGCTTGGTTACAGCTGTTGACTACTGAACACAGCCAATGACTTCATCTAATATTTGGACAGATGTTTAAGAAATAAATTAAAGGGATATAAGAAACATTTTTGTATTATTATTTACAATAAAAACATGTATTGATGTTTTATTGAATATTAAATAAGAATTGGCTGAAATTATTTTTTAAAAAAGATACATGTGATAATGGTGATGGGACTAGAAAAATGCATTGATTTAATATTTGGACAGACAACAACGGGAACCAAACTGAGCTAAAATTGTAAAAACAGAATGAAATTAGCCCTGAATATACTGCAAAACAGAACCATGTTCAATATTTACAAAATTCTTACTGAGTCATGCTGTGGTGCTAACTCATTTCTAACTACTTGACTCCTCCCACTGCTAGAATTCTAATTAGTTCAGTTGGTTTGTTCTGTTTGTGTTAACCTTCTACTAGTGATGTCTGTTTTTGTCTCAACGTATGATTTGCAAGATGGGTGCTTGTGCTGGACTAAATATACTTGATTTTTTTGTAATGATCATAAAATTAATTATAATTATGATGATTATCTCATCAACCATTTTAACACAGTGTAACTTACTAACTTAGCACACCATTCAAAGATATTCAGAATACTTAGCTCTGCTTTCATATCCCTTAGATTTCATACTTGGCATTCTATGTTACTGAACACGTCCCTGATTTGGTCAGTGCTGAAGAGATTAAAGACCCAACTAAGGAGGCTCAATTAAATATTAAATTACTAAATTCTTTATTTCTAATAATAGTTTTTTTTATGTATTTAGATATTAAATTGAAATGTAAAAGTTGTAGAAATCAATCCCATCCAAATTTCATTTTTTAAAATAAGTTGTTGTTTACAATTTAGATTTTCAATATATATGTTTATAACATATGCTCATTTTTTGTGTTATAAATAAACAAAATAAATTCAACCTTAATTTTTTTTATATGTTATTTGTTATACATCTGTCTGAATATTAAATGGAGTCACTGTATCACTGTATAAATACACACTCAACTTTAAGCTTTAACTTGTTTGTTGATTATAAATTTTATTTTATAAATTACAACAGAAAAATTAAAAATGACATAATAAGTTTTGAAATTAGTATGAGATAGTAAAAAATTCTACAATTATATAACTAAAATTCCTGCCATAAGTAAACAAAGACTTGAAAATGTTTGGAGCCTTTGTACAACTTATAAATGTTTTTATTAAGGCATATTCTTCATTATTTGATCAGCTACACTCACAGTTTTAATCTTACAGTACAAGTTGTTTTACAAATCTTTAATGGGCTTTAAAATTCAAAATAGCAGGAATCAGTTTATTTACTTAGTGAAGAGAATGGATTGTTGACAAATCTTTGACTTGGTCACTGTGTGTTAAAAAAACAAAAAATGGCTCTTGAATTATTTATAATGTTCAGAGTCCTAACTGATACCCAACTGATACCATCCATCTGATCAAAAGATGTGAATGATCTGTAGTTGTATAGTTGATTTTGGTAATAGGTTTTAATGTGTGATGAACATGTTATTTTTATAAGCCATCCAACATTATTATTATTATTATATCTTATTAATGTTTAACTTCATTTGTGATTAATCACACTTAAATAAATTTTATATGTTGTAATCAGATTTAAAAACAAAAGTAAAGCAGTAGAAGATTTTTCTGAAAAAAATAATAAAATTGATCAATCCCTCTTTATCTTGTATTAGAATCCAATATGTTTTAACATCTGTTTTATTATTTGTTTCAAGTTTAAGAGGACATACTTGTATTAATTACATTTAATTTATCTTTTGGATAAATGCAATAATTAATTCTCAGTGTAATGGTAAATGATTAAATTTAAGAAATATTATACAAAACAAAGAATAATATTGTAATTCTTTGTTTTGTGTAATAATTGTATTAAAAAAGATGCAATTTGAATGCTCGTTAAACTACAATGGTTTTATGATGGAATGATGAACATTTTAAACAAGTTAACTCATCTTTTAATAAAAAATATATTTTCTGGCTTCTTTAAAATTTAAGTGGTTGTTTTGCTAATCAACTTATAATTTTTTCTTCTTTTTTTCCACAAAGATATATTTTAAAACCAAAAATTATATTAAAAAACCACAAATGAAACTAATAGAATAGAATAGAATCAGTTTATTAACGTAATAGGCAATTGCCTGTTACAAGGGGGGTACATAACATTAATAAAAGATAGAAAACAAACATTTAAAACAAAGGATCAAACAAACTACATAATTTGAGGTAACATATAGTACTTAAGATTTTACCATCAAAAGTTTTCTAACACCATTATAGAAATTAAAAATTTCGTTAGTAGTAGCCTGGTTAAACTTATCATACATGTAACTCACTAGACCTCGGTTGACATTTTGATCTTCAGTGGTTTCTGAGTCTTGATCTTTATCAAAGTCGCAGCCATAAAATAAATGAATTTTTGATAATAGTCTTTTACAGTTTGGACAAGTTGACTTGTCATATTCTAAATATTTTCTTTCTAATATTAATCCACGTTGATTCAGTCTCATCTGGATAAAAAATTTTTTGACTTGAAAAGTTAAGTTTGTAAAAATATAATTGTTGATAAACGGATAGTTAAAGAGGGAGTTATAGTAAAACTTATTACTTCTATTACGAACATCATTATCATCTTGAACTATAGAACATTCTATAACTCTATGCATTAATTGGTTGATATATTGATTATTATTTCTGAGATAATCAATGACTAGTTCGATAGAAAATCCATATTCATTAAATATTTGCGACAGTTGAGTAATCCAGTTTCGATTTGTATTTATCTTCTGAGATCTATTGTATAATAGTAGTGCAAGCTTACTAGACAAGTCATCTATGTTAATTATCTTTTGTAACCATTTCAAGCAAGCTTTAAACAAAATCGTTTTTATTTTATATCTATTGAATTCCAAACGAAGAACACTCCCTGGCACATTGAACTCCAACTGATAAAGCTTACGTATAAATATATTTTGAAGTTTTTCAAACTTATTGAATTTGTTGAGTCACCAAATAGGAGCAGCATACAACAAGGCGTTTAACACTATAGAATTAAACAGTTTAAAGTGAGTCTTATTATTTCTTATTTTTGCTTTAGAAAATAAAATTATCAAATTATTCAAAAGATTCCTGGATTTACGAGTAATATATTTATAGTGTTTTTCGAATGACAAATTAAAGGTCCAAATGAGGCCTAAAAATTTCTTTTCATTGACAACATTTAATTTTTCATCTTGAATATAAAAAGACATGACTTTTTTAGACATTCTATTCCCATTTCTAAAGATCATGACCTCAGATTTATTAGGATTAATTTTAACCCTCAACTTATATAAGTATTCAGTAATTTGTAAAATTTTACGTCGAAGAGCAACTGCAGATGGAGCAACAATGACTATGTCGTCAGCATAAGATAATGAATGAATACAAATGTTGTCAATGTAGATACCGTCGTTTTCATTCGTAAAACAATCGTTCAAGTCAAATAAATAAAAGTTAAACAAATAAGGGGATAGAGGATCACCCTGTAACAATCCCCTACACACAGTAATTGGATTACCACATTTATTATTTTGTTTAATTATAACATTGTAATTACCATAAAGTTGACCAATAATATTTATTAGACATTTACTAGCTTGATGTTTAAGTAATTTATTTTGGAGCAAAATGAAACTAATACTAAATATAAATTCATCATAGAATGTTTAAAATTAATCTATAAAAACTTATACAACCAACTTGATAATTAATTTAAATACCAAACAAACATCCAGATTCTTTATCAGGCTACTTAAATAATTAATTATTCTTAAGTAGCCTGATGAAGAATTCTGCTGTTCATTTGGCTATAAAAACTTTCTAGTTAATGTAATATATATATACATACAACAGAAATTTTATGAAACTAATATATATAAGCACAATGATGGCAGATGTATTCCATTCTGTCATTTTAAAATTTTATTTCTGTATAAATATTCTTTCATAATTAGAAGTAAAATTATAGCAGTTCTTAATACAATACAGAAAAGTATTGAAGTCTATATAAATCTGCCTATAAAGAAGTAAACATTGTCAGTGTTAACATAAAGTTTGTTATATGTACAAATATTCAAATGTAAAAAATTAATAATTATTGAAGCTATAAACAATATTAAAAACATATTCTTTTATTGTTATTAGTATATCTATCTATCATATTTCTCCAGAATATTGTTTGTATCTAAAATTTGTCCTCATCTAAATTATTCAAAGAATGTATACATTATTATTTTTACTTTTCTTTCTATTTTTGTGAAGAATAAATATTCAGTAATTTTTTTTTTATCATTAAAATAAAGAGACTTTAAAACAGTAATAAAATTTTAGAAATCCAACAGCATTAAAAGTGAGAAAAAGAATGTTTATGTAATACAGTATTTGAAATCTGTTGGTTACTGTAATAACCAATTTCTTCTATTATAAGAGTCTGTTGGATGCTAAAACATTTAATTTGCCATAATTTTGATGATAACTTTCTCATTTTAGGTGTAAAATGTATTTGACATTTTTAAACTGGAGTTTTAGTTTCGTTGGACATTTTCTATAATCTTATTCAGTTGGTAATGCATTCTAATTTCTGAAACAAGTAATCAGTAATATCAGATTACAATATTATTATTATTAAATATTATTATAATGGATAGGAAAAGATAAGATCTCAGATCAAGAATCAAAAGTTAATCTATAAATATTAATTTTACTTGATGTTTATGGAAATTTAGTATATTAAGTTCTACTATTTGAATTCTTGATTCTTGTTTATAAATATAGGTGTAAATCACTTAAAAATAATGTTACATTTTCATTCTATTCATATTATTAATTTCAATAATTTGAAATATTTTCTTAAAATAAAAATTACTATTGAATAAAATTTTAGAATCAAACAGAAATGTGAAACATTATCTAAACAATAATTGTTGTGAAATGTTTTATATACAGGGTGTTTCATTTGTCATGTGCCATAGGAGATTATACAAAGAACTGTTGGAATTGTAGGCAAAGCATCGGGTAAAGGTACAGTGTACTGGTTATATGATGCATCATTTCAGGTTTGCAATATTGTCAAATAGAAGGTAAATGCACAAAATTCATACTGATTTTGTCACTTTGTCAAATATCTTTCAATTAGTGTAGGCCCAGCTGCTTGGTTCTGTAATTAGCTAGTGTGTTGTGAGGATTGAACTTGTGTTCTGTAATACTCGATATGCAGATGATAGCAAGAATATGACACATTACTGATTTGTTTCAAATGATAATTTTAGTTTTTAGCACAAAACACCTTAAAGTAAATAATCACAGACAGAAGGACTAACATTTTTTATCCTTTCAACAGATCTTCGAAAACTAACATTTTTGAAGAAGATATGTTGAAAGTTCTTCCATCTGTTAACTAGAGTTATTTATGGTTCTTTTAAAGTGTTTTGTACTTATATTCCATTCTAGAGAAATATTTTGAGTGGAACCATACTGATCAGGTAATTTTAAGTTTAAGTAAAATTAAACACAACAATAATGAAAATCCAGTGTAAGATCAGAAAAAACACAGCCAAGCCTAACATCACAACTTTCAATGATATGATCTCATTAGAAGTCAGAATATGTCAACTTCCTGATTAACTGTCAATTAAACTGATATTTTCCGAGTCGGTCATGAGAAGGTTATGGCACATTTTCCTCAACTGACCTGTTAGTCACTGCTTTGGATAATCTCATCTTCATATAATATGTCTGTAGTCCTTGGGAGAGTTGCTGCTTGTTCTCCAAGTTGTCAAGATCTGTGTTTATTCTTCTCATCTCATTTCATTTTTTGAATTCCCAAAGTTCTATTTCATAAAGAACTGGGTCCTGGTAACCTGCTAGGCATATCCATCTTAGAAAATATTCATCAGAAATGTGGGATTTGTTTGTCAAAAAACGTAGGAAATATTCATCAGCATTTGAACATATTATAATCTGTAAACTTTTTCTCTGCAATCATAATGAACATAAACACAAATACTATGTGTAACCATACTGTACAAAGTTTAGTGTCATACTAATAAATGTCTTTAGTTCACTGTGTTGAGTGACTCCTTCCAACTAAATCTCATCATTTCCTTCACCATTTTCTTATCCCAAGTTTCACATATGTGACTGCATCATTGCCATCCTAGACTCTCTCAAAACTCAAGTTGTAGATGTAACCTACTACTTGTCAGAAATTCTGAGTGTAATCACTTACATTCTGGGACTAGTGTAACATGGGTCCCTAGACCCCATACTGGTAATGTTTTATGTATTAATTAGAACAAGGTCAATCCTCACAACATACTGGTTAATTATAGACAGAACTATGCAGCTGTACCTATAATACTGAAAACTAATTCAACCACACATTTGAATTTTGTGCTGTTTGACAGTATTGCAAACCTGAAATGATGCATTCTCACAGAACAGAATAACATTATTAAGTGCATCACTTCATAGATGTATAACACTACATATACTTACAACACAATACAGCATAACACAAAGTATAAAATACAAAAAATACATACAAACATTAAAAATTTAGTATGTAAATATAAAATTACTTATTAAAATTTACTCTTTATAATTAGCCATGGTAGAATTAAGAAAAGAATATTAATTAATTTTAATCCTTTTTACAAAATCAAAAAAACACTTGTAGTAGGACTTTTAAAATGATTCCTCATATACTAATATAAACATCTATAAAAAGATTAAAGATTATTTTAGATTAAAGCCAAATTGTTAAATTTATTTTAATAATTTGGCTTTTATCTTATTTTAATTATTAAATTTATCAAGAGATGATAAATGTAAACATCTGTAATTCTGACAGTTACATTAAAGCCAAACAATTTCTGGGTTAGATCAGACTATATTACTGCTATCGGTTCTGCTAGTAATAATTAAATGGTAAGTAATTTGGCCAAGAGGTAGGCATTAGGCACCATCTCTAATTAAATTTAATAGTTATAATTAAATTAATATTTATTAATTAATTTAGAAGATTCTGGAAGAAAAGAATTGCCCAGAATGGGAATTAAATTATTTAGCATTTAATTATTAATAGTAGCATTAATATAGTCCAATGTAATCCAGCAATCATGCGGCCTTTGATACATTATATAAATGGTACAATGTACTCTTGTCCCTGATGCTTCCCCACTCAATCTCCTATGGCATGTATCTTATGAAAAACTATATATATATATACAGTGGTGGTATTCAGCCGGTTCGCACAGGTTTGGCCGAACCCATTGTTAACATTTTCAAAGTTTTCCAAACCTTGTTAAACACACATAACATTTCTCAGTGGTTTTGTTTCTTTTAAAAAATATATTAAAATATACGTATTATACTCTGTAACACTACTAAACTAGAGCCTTATACCCCATTTGCCTTGGTGCAACTTCCCTCAACCATTTCAATCTCGACTGAAACGAGGTTCAATTGCAGTCGACTCGAGAGTTCTTGAAACTAGATCCAGCATAAGAGAGATCCCACAATCTCACACACACGAGAAAAGACAAGATGGCTGCAGAACACGTGTTGTAATAAAATATGTACAAAATAAACCATTTTAAACACACTTTTTTAATTATTTATAAAAAGAAATATATTGTTCTGGCATAAAAAATGTTAAATTTTAACTGACTTAATTTTGTGAATGCATCTTTTTTATTTATATGGGTATCTTAAGGTCAGTTTTTGCGCTAATGATGCTAATGCACCATTTGAGCGAAAAAAAATTAAGGAAAAATTTTTTTTTTTTTACAGATTTGGGACCAGTAAATGAAAATTGGTATGTTGATTCAAAGAATGAAATAGATGATTTCCAAACTTGTAAAGATGTAGAAAATAAAGACGTTAATTTGACAAACAACAGCAATACAAATTTGAAAAATTTTAATGATTGGAAAGTTACCACTAACTGTAAATTGGAATATTGTGATATTGAAAATAATACTGTTATTCCAATAACTGAATTATCTTCAAATAAATACTTAACAGAAATTACTGACAAACTTCCCTTAATTAAACCTGAAAATGCAAATATTGAAAAGAATGATACTTATTTGTCAGATCCAGTAAACAAACATAGTTTGGAAGATGTTGATAACAGCTTTGCTGGACAGTTAAAAAATGATTCTTTAATCAATAGTCCCATTACTTTAAGGTATATTGATAAATCTTTGAAAAAATCTGATCAAAAGAACAATTCTTTATTGATATCAAATAATAATTTTCAAGAAGGAAATATTTCACCACATGTTTCTAGTCCATTCTTCTTATGGAGCCCTATTACACAAGAGCAAAAACAAATAAAGTAAGTATAAATTAATAATAAATAGATATAGTTAATAACTATTTACAAGTATGTTTAATTTTACTTTATGAATTTAATGCTTATAAATCAGTCTTAAGTTTAAGAAGAATTACAATTGAACCCACAGTCGGCAGAAAGAATAATTATTCAAATTATCACTAAACTGAAATAAAATAACTTACTGGAATATAAACTTAAAATAATCAAGCACCTTAGTATTTTCAGCAACGAAGTATTTAGTAAAATAAAAACGTTTTCGACTATATTTCGACTATTAAATATAGTCGAAAACGTTCTTCAGTTAAGCCACTTTAAAACGAAAACGAACGTAAAATAGAACGCAAGCAATACAATGGTTTAAAAATTAAAATTAATTACTTAAAAAACCGTTGTATTGCTTGCGTTCTATTTTACGTTCATTTTTGTTTTAAAGTGGCTTAACTGAAGAAGACTATTAAATATAGTCGAAAATGTTTTTATTTTATTAAATACTTCGTTGCTGGAAATACTAAGGTGTTTGATTATTTTATCACTAAACATCTTTGGCTGCTGAGACACATTTATTTGCTTATACACTAGCATTTTCATCCTAATGCATAGGATGTCCTCAGGTGACTGATTTTGAAACACCAGTTGCAAACTGTTTCAAAATGGAATATAATAAACATAGAATATTAGAACATTAAACTTCAAACACTTGAATATAAATACACCATTCCAATAATTCAAACATAAAGTAAATTAAAACTAAAACACAAAAGTAACATAAAAATTAAAATTCTAACATAAAAACTAAAGTAAAACAAAATAAATATAAATGTAGAACTAGAATTGTAAATTTTCAATACAAAAATATGCAGTAAATATGGTATCTAGGAGTTTCTATAAAGAAACTTCTTTTTACAATGAACTTCCATGCTGATAATAAACTGCCTGTATCTCTTGCATAAATTTGTCCTTCAACCTGCTCTTATATATTTCAGTTTTTTACAGCATTCAGTGCCAATTTTGGAGAGAGTCGTCTTAACTAGCTCTGCCTCATCCCATTTAATGATTTTAATTAATTTTTTAACATAATTAAGTAAACAATAAAAATTAATTTGTCATATTTATAATTACTGTTGAATAATAATAAAAATATATAAATTTCAGTGATAAATTTGTTGTTCCTGTCTTTCATACTCCATTAAGTTGTTTTAAAACTAGTACACCAATTAAGATTACTGAAAGTTTGGGAATTCAGTCTTGTAGAGATATGTCATGGAATTCAGCAATGGAAACTCCTGTCACAATAAAAGGTATTAGAAATCTGGAACTTTTATTTTTTCAATATTAACAACTTTTAATTACATATAATCAATATAATACTAATTAATTGAAATTTTTTCATAACTTTTATCATGCAGTTCTTTTAATCTGGTAAATCTTTTTTCTTCATTCTTGGAGAACATAATAATTTTGATGAAAAGCTATTTTTTAAAAGCAAAACAAACACTGGATTACATCAGGCTATTTTTCTATGATTATATTTAATTAATTACTAAATAATTTGTCACTAGAGGAGGTGTTAGGCACCATCTCTAATTAAATTTAATAATTATAATTAAATTAATATTTATTATATAACTTAGAATATTCTGGAAGAAAAGAATCAGCCTGGAGTGGGACTCAAACTTGCAACTCTTACTGTGCAGATTTGCTTCTAGCTACACTACCCAAGCCTCCAGTTCAATCTTCTTTTCCAGACATATTTAAATATGATATAACCATCCATGGTTTATCATATTTAAATATGGGTAGGAGTTTGTAGGATGAGGGCACTGAAGGCATCCTTATGTGATATTCTGCTCTCCCTCCATTTTTTGTATTGTTTAAATCAGTATTGTTCTCCTCCTAACCCTAATAATTCTACAGAAAAAAAAGGATAGTCTACAATCAACGATCAAAACGCTTTCTTCGGGTCAAATGTCACAGTCTATACCAACAAATTAGATCGATGATAAAATCAACAAGGCAAGAACAGACATTTAAAAGAAACTAATAAGCGGCGTTTCTCACCCCTCCTTTAGCTGCACATGGCATGTGTCTGTGGTCACCTGCACAATGACCAAAACAACATGATAATAATTGCCTCTCTCGTCGACTAACACAATATTTAATATAAACAATCTAGAGATTTGTCAAATCTGAGAAGATATTGTCAAAATATATAATAATTAATGGGAGAGAACTGTCAAATTCATAGGAATTTATATCATAAAATTTCACCTTTAGTAGACCAATGTCAACAATCCAACCAAAGAATATTGTTAATTGAAAATTTCTATAGAAAATTGAATGTTCTATGATGAATCCAAGATCATTTAAATTTATACAATTATACATCAAATCAAGCCTGTATTACTATAATAATAATAATAATAATAATAATAATAAGCAACTCCAAAGGAAAACAAGAACAACACTTACTAAGCATAAACAACATCATCCTAAATCCGCCACAGAAAGATTAACTCTTCCACGTAAAGATGGCGGACGTGGCCTGATTGACATAGTTAACCTTCACTACAAACAAATACAGTCACTGCGAGAGTTTTTCTACAGGAAACAAGAAACATCACAATTACATAAAGCAGTAACTCTAGCAGACTCAAATAGCACACCATTAAACTTACACTCACAACACACAGACATGACACAACATATAAAAAGCATAGACACCATCAAGCAATCGTGGGCTCAAAAGGCACTCCATGGCAGGCATCCTTATGACCTGGCCCAGGATTTTGTTGACAAAACTGCGTCAAACAGCTGGTTAGATCGGGGATGCCTCTTTGGGGAGACGGAAGGATTCATGATTGCCATACAGGATCAGGTCATAAATACTAAAAACTACAGAAAACACATACTCAAAGATACAACACTCACAAATGACACATGCAGAAAATGTCACATCATGCCAGAAACTATACAACACATCACTTCTGGTTGCAAGCTCTTGGCACAGACAGATTACTTACATAGACACAATCAAGTAGCAAATATAATACACCAAGAGCTTGCAAAGAAACACAAATTGGCAGACATCCACGAACCATACTACAAGTATATTCCACAGACAGTATTGGAAAATAACACGCACAAAATGTATTACGACAGAGCCATAATCACAGATAAAACAATTTACCACAACAGACCAGACATCACACTCATTGACAAACACAATAAAATCACATACATTATAGACATAGCCATTCCAAACACTCACAATGTACAAAACACATGCACTGAAAAAATTAGCAAGTACACAGAACTCGCCCAGGAAATCAGGCATCTGTGGAGGATGGATAGGGTGCTTATTGTACCTGTTGTTCTCTCCTGTACAGGTGTGATACCACACACACTACACAAAAGCCTGGGAACATTACAATTGAATAGAAATACATACATCACACTACAGAAGGCCACTATATTGAATACATGTCATATCGTTAGGAAATTCCTTAATACAGACACTGACACTGACATACTTATTTAATTAGTTTTGGTTGCTATGCCTTGACTCTGGTCCGGCATAGTACACAGCCACCGGTTTAAACCGAGTATTACCCACTAAACCCAACATAATAATAATAATTACATAATACTTCTAGCCCAATAGTAAATCTGTCTTTATTAGTTTTATTCATTATTGAAAATAAATTTTTGAAAGCTAAAAATTTCAGCAATCTTACTGTTTATATTAATCAGAAGCTAGTTGTTATAATGATAGGCAAATTATGATTTTTACAATGTAGGTTTAAGGTATTCTGTGAAAGTGTTTTACTATTCAGACTATATACAAATTCTTACTATTCAAAGTGATCATAACATATAACATATTCATTCAATGTTTATTTGAGCCTGTTGGGCCCTTAACTGCTGTGACAATCTCCTTTCAGTTTTCCCTGTCTTGTGCCTCTTGCATCCACCCAGGCAGTACACCTACTTTTTGTAGATCCCTCTCCAATATACTTTTCCATTGCAATGGAGGGCATCCAACAGGTAGTTATTGGGCTGCAATTTGAAAAAATTGTAGACCTATAAATTCCCACAATTGTCTATCTGTCTGTCATTCCTTAATCTCAAGAACAAAGTTAGATAGATGAAAGTCAAGACCAGATATGGAAAGTGTAGGGGAAGGAGGCCCTGATTAAGTATATATGGATGCAAACTGGAAGTTACATTATTTCAATTCAGAATTTTCCCCTGAATGGAATTAGATAGACGACTGGCATGACCCTACTGATAACAGGAAAAGTATGACGTACAGGGGTAAGACACTACTAATTTGAGGTGGAGAGCATATATTTTAAGTTAAATAAATTTAAAATATGATTAAAAATTGCAGCCTGGCACAATGTCACAATAAATAATTGCTCATAACATATATAGTCATGTAATTGGTTCAAGCCCATTGATAAAGCTTAATAAAAGTTTCAAAATACAGTAGAGTCTCGAAAACTTGGCCTAATGTGGACCTAAGGGTAGTCGAGTTTGTGAAAATGCCGGGTTATAGGGAATGGGGTTAAAAAAATAAGTATTAGTGTTTCCTCAGAAAATACTGTACTGTACTTGTAGGTATTGTTTGCTTGAGAATACAACAGAGAATAAACTGCCCAAATACCCTTAAACAAAGGAAAAGTGCATACTTTATGAAGGCATAGAGCCTTTACTACATAAAAATGAAAATTAATGAATACACTGTGTACAGTAATTTACCTGATAAGACAGACCTCAGAAAAATACTTTATGAGGCATAAAGCTATCTATAATGAAAATTAATTAACTAAGGATTTTTTTTTTGCCCTGTCAGGGTGTGGCCGAGTTATCCGGACTGCTGGGTTATCGAGTGCCGAGTTTTCGAGACTCTACTGTACCATTTTGATATATTACAATCAAAATACAGTAGACCCCCCTATAACACTTAGATACGTTCCACATTATTCGAATTTCACGTTGTAGGAATCCTTAAATACATGAGCCAATCGCAACCTGACATGTGTGAAGTTTACGGACTATGGCTGTTTGAAAGGTTTTCTTCCATAAAATTAATCGATTCTAGACTAATTCGACTCAACATTTCCAAAACACGTATAATTTTTTGGGAATAATCCGTATAAACTATGCTATAAAGAAAAAATTGTAGGATTACTTACCGAGTGTGCACTGTTCAATGTCGCCATTGCTTAAGCTTGTTTTCGTCATGGAGCAGCACACCAAACAGCGGCCGTGATTTCTGATAAGTTATTTTTCTGTGAAAAATTCGCTGAACTTTGGAGACATCATTAATATAAATAATTTTTATGGCCGTTGAATAAGAAATGTTTCTTTCACAAGAAATGTATAAAATTACAGTACTGTATTAGATTTACGGTATCTAATTTACATACTGTACAGACGATAGTAAAATCAACTTACCCACCTAAACTCTTGTGGCATGGCGCTGGACAGCAGAAAGTATATATTGATATATAATTATAATAAAGTTAAAATAAATTAATATATAATTATATATACAGTATCTAAGTTATATATAATTAATATATAATTATATGTACAGTACCTAATTTATATATAATTTATATAATACTGTCCAGACGATAGAAATCTCTCCGTAGCGTGGCGCTACGGACGGCGGGAAAGTAGTTCGGCTTCCCGATGACGTTTGAGGTGTTTATAGGGAACTTTTACTATTTTTTACGGATACCGGTAGCAATTTTTTCNACTGTACAGATGATAGTAAACTCAACTTACTCGCCTAAACTCTCCATAGCGTGTCACTGGACAGCAGAATTTCATTATAATAAAGTTAAAATAAATTAATATATAATTATATATACAGTATCTAATTTATATATAATTAATATATAATTATATGTACAGTACCTAATTTATATATAATTTATATACAATACTGTACAGACGATAGTAAACTCAATTTACCCGCCTAAACTCTCCGTAGTGTGGCGCTGGACTGCATAAAGTAGTTCAGCTGCTCGTCCACTATTAGTCCAGATTCGACCAATCCTGTCGCGACACGAGTCGGTGATGACGTTTTACGAGTCCCTTTTAGCGTCCTTATACGAATACTGTTGCAATTTTTTTGCTACATTATAGGAATCTCTGTTATAGGAACCCACATTATAGGGGGGTCGACTGTATGTAAATTAACCAAAGATTTATTAAAAGCAAAGTAATACATTATAGAGAGCAAAAATAAAAAAAATTATTAAAAAAAAAAAAGCTTTTATGCACACAATTGAAAAGCAATTGAGTCTCTAAAGATGATTCTACATATATAGATGTAAACATTTTACAAATAAAAACAAAATATGCTTATTATTTTCTAAAATATTTTAATGCCATTGAAAGATTTTTTTAGTACATTTACTTGTAGTAAGTAACTGAAAGCTTTTTTACATCTTGACAGATTTGCATATATTGACCTATATTAGGAGTAGAATCTGTAATTTGTTGTTTTAACCTTTCTATAAAGTAAAATATTTTTTCAAATTCTTTGATAGTAACTAAATTTCAATTTTTTATATATGGATTTTTGTCAATTAATAATTTATACTAAATCAAATTTTGTACTCTTTAAACTCATACTAATCATGATCTATTTGCAGTTTTCATTTTATATAATTTATGTCAGATTCTTTAAAAAGTTGAATGTTTAAATAGTTTAAACATTTGATTTTGTAATGTTTAAATTATTTTAATATTATATTACTATTAATTTCACACTGATACCTTTAAATGCAGCATATTTTCAATTATATGTTAACATTTTTTTGTTGTTTTTAACAACTTTCTTCAAAGAAGAAAAATACATTCCAAATATAAGACACCATCAGTGTAGAACGTATTAACTCAACCGGAAAATTAATGTATTTAAAGTGTAATTTTACAAATTTAAACATATGTGCTGAATGTCTCTTATTCATATAAAAATACAATAACTATCAAAAATTTACAGTAAAATAAATACAAAAAAAAATATAATTAAAACACAAATAAATAAATAAATGAATTAAAACACAATTCCCACAATCGTCTATCTGTCTGTCATTCCTTAATCTCAAGAACAAAGTTAGATAGATGAAAGTCAAGACCAGATATGGAAAGTGTAGGGGAAGGAGGCCCTGATTAAGTATATATGGATGCAAACTGGAAGTTACATTATTTCAATTCAGAATTTTCCCCTGAATGGAATTAGATAGACGACTGGCATGACCCTACTGATAACAGGAAAAGTATGACGTACAGGGGTAAGACACTACTAATTTGAGGTGGAGAGCATATATTTTAAGTTAAATAAATTTAAAATATGATTAAAAATTGCAGCCTGGCACAATGTCACAATAAATAATTGCTCATAACATATATAGTCATGTAATTGGTTCAAGCCCATTGATAAAGCTTAATAAAAGTTTCAAAATACAGTAGAGTCTCGAAAACTTGGCCTAATGTGGACCTAAGGGTAGTCGAGTTTGTGAAAATGCCGGGTTATAGGGAATGGGGTTAAAAAAATAAGTATTAGTGTTTCCTCAGAAAATACTGTACTGTACTTGTAGGTATTGTTTGCTTGAGAATACAACAGAGAATAAACTGCCCAAATACCCTTAAACAAAGGAAAAGTGCATACTTTATGAAGGCATAGAGCCTTTACTACATAAAAATGAAAATTAATGAATACACTGTGTACAGTAATTTACCTGATAAGACAGACCTCAGAAAAATACTTTATGAGGCATAAAGCTATCTATAATGAAAATTAATTAACTAAGGATTTTTTTTTTGCCCTGTCAGGGTGTGGCCGAGTTATCCGGACTGCTGGGTTATCGAGTGCCGAGTTTTCGAGACTCTACTGTACCATTTTGATATATTACAATCAAAATACAGTAGACCCCCCTATAACACTTAGATACGTTCCACATTATTCGAATTTCACGTTGTAGGAATCCTTAAATACATGAGCCAATCGCAACCTGACATGTGTGAAGTTTACGGACTATGGCTGTTTGAAAGGTTTTCTTCCATAAAATTAATCGATTCTAGACTAATTCGACTCAACATTTCCAAAATANAATTAAGATTGTTCTATTATGAAAATTGAAATTAATACTATATATTTCTTATATAGCCAATGGGAATACTTGCTTTAATCGATGAAAAGTGCTGGTTTCCAAAAGCTACTGATAAAAGTTTTGTTGAGAAACTTCTAAATTCCCATACACATCACCCAAAATTTATTAAGTCTGTACATATATTCTATAGTTATAGTTACAAAGATTTATGCATATACAGTAGTTTTTTGTTTGAATTTCTAATACAATGAATAATGTTCTTTAGTATTCATCATGATATTTGAATTGAATAATTCTAGTATTTGTTCAAAGTGGATATGTGAAACTCAAAAGTTCCAACAATAAATATAGGAAGTAAGATTTGACTCTATTTCCAGTGACTGTTTTTATTTGTTTTAATGGTGTCTATCTATGCTATGTTAAGGTTTTAGTGATTTTTATCACAAAATTTCAGTGCAATTTTATGAACTACTTCTTAATAGCTCATTATGTTGTTAGTTTATTTTTTTGTTGTTTATTGTATATCAAACAAAATATAGTTCATATGCAATTTCTAATAAGGTGTACTATGCAAATTTATTTGTTGTATTACTACTTAAAATTACCTACTAGTGATCAAGTGGATAAGACCACTGAACACTAGTAGTTGGTCATGGGCTTGCACCTTGTCTGTGGGTTGATCACATGGAGTTTTCTGGGTTAATTCACATTTGTAACATCTAAATAGGGGCTAGTTTCTCATAAAAGTCCTCCTGGGGACATCCCCCTTGGCAGATCACCCACATGTTGCATTGCTTTAACTAAATAAACTGTATTACTGCTTAAAAAAGTAGCCTTTAATAACATCATTAAGTATTTGTGATTAAAGTAATTGGCATTTGTAACATTTAATTTCATACTAAAGTCATGAATTGATGATTAAAGTCATGGTTTTCTGAAATGTTTTATTGTCATTTGAGGTAACTTGGATGGACAGAAACAAGTTAGAACTTTCCCAAAAGAAATAATGAAAAAATTTCTTGATATTTGGATCACTTCAAGAACACTTTAGATTTAGTTAACAGGATTTGGCTGTATTTTAATTGATATTGAGATTTTATTAAATAATATTTATAAACAAGTATTATTCATACTTGTTTATAAATATTATTTGTTTATTATTATTGACTATTAACAATTATAATTGTTACTGATTGATTCGATTAGTAACAATAATAATCATTAATAGTAACAAATATTAGCAGTTACTCTCTGATCTTATGTTGGAAGAAGACGCAATTTTATCTTCTTGCATATTATCTGACAGTAGGCATTTCAAATTCATCAATAGTTGTTCAAAATCTTGTCTCAGTTACTTCTTTCAGACATTTTCATCTAGGAGAAAGAATTGGACACTATGATTATTATGCTGATTGACAAAGGTTTAGATATAATATTGTTAAAAGGAAAATAGACTGATAATTGACAGTTATTCCAATCTCTAATTGATCTTTCTCTGGAAAGTAAAAATAGTACGTTTATGGACTTACTAATGCCACTTTTGAAGTATAAAGCCAAGTTTACTTCCAAAACATTATTAGAAGAAACTGCCATTAAAGTGAGACATTGAATACTGGAGAACATCTGTTGATCAAACAGAAACCTTATTGAGTCTCATTGCTTAAATAAAGGAGTCAACAAAGTGTTATTCAAGAAGTCCTTTTGAATGTTCTAGGTTATCTCTGGTTGTATTGGTTAGGAAGAAAGACAGCAACCTGGAGATTTCATGAAAATTGTTGAGAAGCAAAGAATCTAGCTATTTGCTTCACTATCAAAACAAGCAAATAACTAGATTCCTGTCTTGTTTTGTGATATTTCTTGTGAGGATGAGGAGAATTTTGCTTTACAGATCCATCTTTTGAATGCTGATCTTATACAAAAAAATTTTTTTGGTGTTTCTTTATACTGGAAAGTATAGGAAAGTGTTTGCAACTTTTTAATTTTCTTCAACTATGTATATGTTAGTGTCCAAATGATGTATTACCTTTTCATCTATTTACCTAGAATCTTTTATAGTAACAATTTGACACCTAAATTATGATTTTCAAATAATGAGATTCTGATGATGGAGTCTATATTTTCTGAAAGAGTATAATAAATATTTGATCTAATCTATGACTTCTAAAAATTTAACAGTTGATATGAGAATTTTTATAGATATAAGAAGAGTCAGTTTTACCAGCAATAATAATTTAAATGAAAAAGTAATAAAAATTAGTAAATATTTATTGAATTCATATTGAATGCTAAATTTTAATTAGATTGATGAGATTCATAAAAGTAAACTCTGTTTTGAATTATGAAGTTACAAATTTTGATCATACTGATTTATTGACAAGACTGTCTTGGTTATAAAATCATACTGCTGCTTTTTATTACCAGCATAGAGGTATGAAGGAGTACAGTCGAGAGTTGATATTTGGCACAGAGTATTATGTGCCCAAATCATTTGCACATAAAAAAATCCAGACTCGTAGGTAGTCGGGATCGAGAACCGAGTCAAAATAAAATCCAAAATGGCGACCCTCTTCTACAAATAGACAAAACAGCCATTTCACCCCACCAAAGTCAGGTGGGGGAGAATACCACCCACAGTCATTCTAAGAAGTGAACTCTGACCTTAGGACCGAACACGTAGTTTCTTCTATGTTAAATAAAATTTGTAATCTAATTTTGTAAATTTGGGAGTTCTTCAAATATGACGTTAAAACGGTTTTATGTCGTTACAAGTGGGTTTTTGTAACATTATTTAGTATAGTAAAATCGTGGGACCAATAAAAATTTGACATGTAAGACAGAGGGTGCCATCGCATGACCTTTGCCCTTTGACCTCACTTTGCTTCTAAACTCTAATGAGGAGAGACATCTTTTTACTTTATTTAGTTAACCTTTCGATTTGACAGTCATGCCAATCTTGGATTTATATTATATCTCAATGCTATTCTAAATATCGCATAGCCAATCCAAATTAAGTAAATTATTTGCCTGGATCATTTCTCAGTTAATTTTTATCGGCGGAACACGTGGTCGAGGTCAATGTGGACATCACAGACAAGGTAGGACATGCCACATACAGATTTTAGCCACGCCACTATAGACGTTATATTAGGGTTGTTGTTACATCCAATGACGTTATAATCAGGTTAAACTGTATATTGTTTGTACAAAATAAAATAATAATTTCGGATGATACAATAGCCACAATTATTTTTTTCAAAAACAGGAAATTTTTGTTATGCATCGACAAAAATTCAACCCTGGCCGTTACACAACGAAAAGAAATTTTGACATTGGATAGGGTATACTGGATAGGTTAATTTCACTGAAAATGCATCATGGATGACCTCGTGGTTGTGCCTGGTGAAGTTTGAACGATCGCGCTCAAAAGCAGCGATACCAAAGAAGATTGGAGAATGAGAACGAGACCCACTTGAGCATCAAAATGATTCCACTTAGTAGTGAGTCTCCAAGACATAGTCTTGTCCCAAATACGGCTTTGCCATTTTACTTGTTTTAAAAGTAAAATTTCAATTCAATTTCTTTAAAAATGCTTCTATAATTTAATTTTGTATTAAATTGATAATTCATAATTACACAATTCCAAATTACAATGTTTTGATAGTTTAATTTTAATAAATAATAACTTAAATGATTATCTGATTTTACAATAACACATTAGCTTTCATAATCAGTTAATGGTTTAAATAATTGTAATAATCATAATCATATAAATGTTACTTTATAATATATTTCTTCAGTTTGGAGAGTATTAATTATCTGATTATTCATATATTTATACTTGATTCAATTTTTTAGGTTGTTCCAAAGAACTTGTTTTCTGTAGAAAATCAGAAAATAGAAGAAAAAAATGGTAAAGTAGATGATCCTCCTTCTTATGTAGATACGTGTTTGGAAGATAATTCCATCATCAACATGAATACTAATAAAGAATGCAATAAAATGCATTTTCGGTCAGAATATGTTGATATGACTCTTATGGCAAATCCTTTTTTAAAGGAGAGATTTATCATTAAAACTAGCGAAAGTACTTTAAATGAAAATGTTGTTGATATATTGCAAAATCTTATTTCTTCTCAAAAATTTATAATAGAAAATGAAGGAATGAAGGAAATGCCATTGACTACGTGTAAAGCAGGTAATTCGAAGATTTGTACAGAAGATAATAAAGCTAATAATGCAACGTGTAATGTAAATTCTGATTTTTGCACAAATTCTATGAAGAGTGAACTATGTTCATTTGGTAATAATGAAACTATTTGTAAAACTTTGAGTTTTCTTTTTGCTAGTCAGTTTTCATTCCCTAATACTTGTAAAAAAAATGAAGTTTGTAACAATAATGAGAGTGTAGTTATGCCATATATAAATGTTCATAAGAAAACTCAAGACAGTATAATTAAAATATCTACAAATGAGGAACAACATTCAGTTTTTAATGTTGATAAAGTCAGAACTGATGAATCTAAAAATCAACTATTTAATGAAACATCAAGTTTGGCTACAGATGATAAACTATTTGAAAATATGAATATATCTTATTGTAATAATGATTCAAATTATGATATTCAAAAGTTTTCATTTATAAGTCAAAATAACAGTTATACAAAACTTGAAATAAAGGAGATAAATCAATCAAATGAAGATATTTCTGTGCCAAAACTTAATTTTTCTGACATGGAAATGATAAAAGAAGACTATTCAGCAAATCTCCCTCAAGAAAATATTGATTGTCATAATGTTAATTTTGAACTAATAACTGGAAGAAACTTGAACATTTTGCCTCAAAAATCTGCCTCATTTTATTCAGCTAATGGTAAACCCATTATTATAAATAAAAACTCTTTACAGCAAGCAAAAGAAATGTGGGATAAAGTAACAAATGATTCTTGGAACTGTAATTTAAATCAACATAATCCCAATATTAATCATAATGAAAATAATTATGCAAAATTATTAGCTAATACATTCCAAAATACAAATGAAAATGTTTCAAAGTTAAACTCAATAAATGCTCAAAAGTTTTGTAGGGATCCTGTAAATAATAATACTAACTTAATTGAATTAAATACAGCAGAAAATTATAGTCAGTCAAAACATATTAATTCTAAAACAGATCAAAAAGAATTAATAGAACTTCCATCAACAGATAATCCAGAGTGTAAATTAAATATAGATTCTGATAAGAATTTAAGTACAGAAAGTACATACAGTAAAAATTTTGATATTGAAAAAGAAATAGAAAGTCAAGTGTATCATTCTCCTGATTTTCCTTTAACTCAAGTAATGGAAGTAGCTGAAATCACATATGCTTGTTTACAAGAAATGGAAAAAGGATTTAGTCATACCTTTAGTCAGTTTTCTCCAAATCCTACAAAAATAAACAATGATTTTCAAAATGTTAATGAAGTTAATTTATTTCAATGTGGAGAAAATATCTTAGAAGATAATTCAATGAAACATATGGATAACAAAGTAAAATATTTTAATATTGATAGATCAATAATACAAAAAAGTAATTTGGATACAATAGAGGATAAAATTAATACGGATCCATTGATAATTTCAAGAAGAAATAATTTAAAAAATTTAGGTAATCATGCATCAGAAAAGCAGATTAAATGCAGAACTGAATTATTTAAAACTAACAATAATTTAAATTGCTTATTTAGCAACATAGAAGATGTTAAAAAAGAAACTAGTTCAAATTACCAATTTAGTTTTGAGGTTAAAGATGCAAAAAATTTTAAAGGATTTACAACTGCTTCAGGAAAAGATATACATTTGTCTGAAAAAGCTTTGAACAAATCTAAAGAAATATATGCTGAATTAAATAAATGCGAATTATCAATTTTTGATCAAAAAGAAGAGATAAATAATAATTCTGTTGATTTGTCATTGATCGATCTCGATTTTTATTCAGATGTGGAACAAGTGAATTTTCTGAACTTAAATAAGAAAGAGTCAATAAAAGAATTAGCTGTAGAATCTTTTAATGAAAACATAAATTTTAATAAAACTGATAATACATCAAAATCAACTATGACTACTGTAATAAATTCTTTGAATGAGAACAGTAAATATGAAAACAAAGACTATGTAATACCTAATGATAAAAGTTTAGAAAATCATTTAAAAGAAAAAATAAAAAAAATTCCACATCAAACTACAGTTTTAAATGATGATAAACTATCATTTTTTACAGCAGCTGGTAAAGAATGTATTGTATCTGAAGATGCTTTACAAACTGCAAAAAAATTATTTAATGAAAGCAGCAGTAAAATTTTTACGAAAGGATCAGATATTGAAGGAATTATTAATGAAAATAATGACAAAAATTTAGATACAGATGAAGCTGATTATCTTCCTACTTTTGATATGAGTTATTTTACTGCTTGCAGTCATCAGGATAATATTGATGATGATTCACAGGATGATAAAAAGTTATTTATTAGTATTGACAACAATGAAAAACATAAGGCTGTTTTGGAAACTAATAAACATAACAATGTTTTTAAATCGGAAAAGTTTTTATCAACTAAGTTTTCATCAACAGATCATGAGCTTTATGTTAATGAAATAAATGAAGAAGCTAATCCAAAGATGTCTCATTTAAAACAATATGAGGAATGTTTTGACAATCAAAGAATTCAAACCAACAATGAAAATATTCTATTGGAAGATCAAAAAGATAAAGCTAAAGATGTATGTAGTAAAGAATATATCAAATTAAATACTAGTGATTTAGAAATAAAAACTGATAATCTAACTAAAGGTGGAGATGAGTTAATTTTGAATGAAAATATAGTAGAAGCTAAATCAAATTTAAAAGATGAAAATCCTGTAGAACTTAGTGATGTTCAAGAGACATTTATGTATAAAAATTATAATGACCAAATATCTGAAACATTACATGCCGATATTTCAGATGATTCAACAAAAAATATTCCTACAGATTTTCACACTGAATATGAAAAAGAAAATGTAAAATATGAACCAGATGATAAAGAGATAGAAATATATAAAAATAAATCTGTATTCAAAATACATAATTCAAAATTTCCTAGCTTTTCCACTGCTTCTGGAAAAAAGATTTGTATATCATCTGAATCATTGTCAAAAGCAAAAACAATTTTGAATGATATCTCAAATGATAATTTAAACGAAATACAAAAAATTAAAGATCTTATAATGACTAATTCAGAAAGCATTGAGCAATTACATTTTAATCGAGTTTCTGATGAAAATACGCATAATGCTACATACAAAACAAATGCAACAAATAAATTAGAATTTAATTTAGAAAATAATGCTGAATTGAATGATAAAAATTGCAAATATTATTTTGAAAATGAAAATAATGTGATATTACCAGAAAAAAGTGATTGTGCAAATTCTCATAACCCACTAAAATCAATATATGTTGAGAAAAATTTTGTTCATGACAAATCTCAGGAATTTAAAGAATGTAAAAAACAATATTCTTTTAAAGAGGAAGAAATTAATAATTCTGAAATTACTGTTCAAAATATTAAAATTGCTAATGAGAATCTTATTCAAACTGAATCACATTTACAAATTCAACAACAGTTTCCCTCAGATATAAGCAAATTTCCTGTATTTAATACTGCTAGTGGAAAAAAAGTTACAATTTCTGAAAATGCATTAAAGAAAGCAAAAACAATTTTAAACAATGATCCTGCAGAATGTAATTTGTCTGTAAATGAAAAGTTCCAATTAATGAAGGAAAATGAAACATGTGAATTGTTGAAATTTCCAGGATTTTCCACAGCAGCAGGAAAAAGTGTGGTAATTTCGGAAAATTCAATACAAGCTGCCAAAATTCTGCTTAAAGATAGTGAAATTAAATTGAATAAGTTAGATGAACAAAGCAATACTAAATTTGGGTTTATTCCATCAAAAAATCAAGACTTTCATAATAATCAGATTGGATTTAATAGTGCAGCTGGAAAAAAGATTTTAATATCAGAAGCAGCTTTAAACAAAGCAAAATTATTATTCCAACATTCATATACAGAAAGTAATAATTTAGAAAGCAACTTTGAAAAAGATAAACATTTTAGCAATTTCCATGATAAAAACAAATTGAACAGTGATTATTGTGATGTCTATGACACTGAACAGGTCATAAAAAATCATTCTGTTTTAATGAAAGAAGACAAAAAAACAACTAATGATAATTTGAATGATATAACTAAGTCAAATAATGTTCATCACAGCGAAGTTTCACTTACTGAAACTATTAAACGACCAAAAACTGAAAATAATAATAAAGATAGAAAAGATAATCCAGTAAAAAGGACTTTAGATGAATTAAATTTATTATATTTACCTCAAAATCAAAAAAGAAATAAAATTGGAAAAGCAGATTTTGGAAGCAATGACATAAAAGATACAGATAACATAAATGATAAGGTAAATTTTAATTTACCTCAGACAGTTTTTCCTGTAACTGATAAAAGCAGTATAGAAAAAAAAAGATATTTTGCTATGAAAAATCAAGAAGAGAGGATTAAAAATAAGTACAATAAAAAAATAAATATTCTTCCTGGTAAGCTGTGGATAACGAAAACTAGTGGCATATCACGACAGAGCTTGAGGAAATTTGTTAACAATTTACTCCCCTTCACTTCAAGTACAAAAAAGGTAAAATTTTAGTTATTATTAAATAAAATAAATCATATATTAAATTAGTTATTTAATAATTTTATAAAGTAAAATAAAAACTATTAATATATTTTAAATTAATTCTAGAGCTTACTATAGTTTTTATAGTTTTAAATTTTTTAATTGAAATTTTATTAGTTCAATAGAGCATTGATTATTTAAAAATCTATTATATGAAAAAATGATTTTAAGAAATTATTTCCTAATAATAATTGTTTACTATCTTTGATAGGCCTGCTATTGAGCTCTCTCATTATTATTAACTTAACTATTGTGTACATTTTACTTTGAATTCAAAGTTTCATCAGTACATTGTAGATTACATGAAAGACTAGTTCTTATTTTTAATAAATTATATAATCTTTTCATTGTTTCTAGTCGTTTATATGTATAAAGCTTTTATGCTTTAATCTTTTTTTCACCCTTGTATTAGAATTAAAATGGATATTTTAAATTAAATGTTCCATTATGGTTCACAGTTGCACACGCAGAAGTGCAACCATAAACTTAAGGATGATCCAAACTCTGCCCGTCTCTATGTTATGTAACATTAAATACTTAGTTTACTTTTTTGGTACTTTTATAGATGGTAGCTGTAGAAAATACAAGGCAAGAACCACTTGCCTCGTATTTTCTACATCTACCATCTATAGCAACCCTTGTAAACAGATTCTACCCAGTCAATTACTCAATATTTTTTTTGATGTAAACTTGTAACCAATAACCAACTATTATAAGGATTGAAGAGCGGTCATTAAGACTCAAAATGCATTTTCTCTAATAAAACCTATATGGTAAGTAGAAGTTGCAGTGTAACATGAGTAAACTGTGTTCAGAATTTTTAGTATGTTAACATACCTGTACAATGTGTAAGCTTACCAACTTTTAGGGGAGATTCAGTTAATCTTGCATCAGGGAGAGTCTAGGAGCTCTTCATATGTGGGTGGTGGTGTTGGAGGCAAAGACGACATGTCCTTACAAAATCCCATTTATTATAGTGAATAACACGTTTACATGTATGTTGAATGGGTAACTAGAAGTTTGCATTGGATGAAGTTATTCTAGTGTCTGTCACAGTCCAAGGATAGTTAGAAGTTCAGTCCTGTCAAATGAAATTAGCATGGAAGTTTGATGATGGCCCCAGGGAAGAGGTGATGTAAGAGAGTGGCCTGTTTAGTTGCAAGTTCTTCGATGTCGAGATGTGTCGAATGAGTCAGAATAATCCTGGGAGGATGTGACAGATTAATCATACCTTTTGTGTTTAGAGAGAACTGCCTCTCAACCTTGAGATTTGGGGTTTTTATAGTATTTCTCCCTCAAATCTCATCTTTTGATTGGTTTTAGTTTCCTTATTTTGCTTTCTTCTGCCTCCAGGTGAGGTCTGAGAGCAGTTCGGGTCATGAGAAAGGTCCATTCAGGACAGTGTCTCTCGACTCTGACCAGGAGATGTTGATGGAACCTAGACCTCTACACTCATAATTAAGCCCTTTATTTCCTATCTTATGACATTTTAGAATTTGAATGATCTGACATGATCATTCAAATTCTAAAATGAATCACAGACTGCTATAGACTGGGATCTTTAGCAATGAATCCCAGCTTTGTGAACAGACTCAAACAAATTATTTATAGAGCTACAATTTGAAAAAACTGTAGACCTTTAAATTCCTACTATCTGTCTGTCCTTCCGTAATCTCAAGAACAAAGTTAGTTAGATAAAATATGAGACAAAATATGGAAGACTAGAAGCAGGAGGACCTTATTAACTATCTTCTAAATAACTAAATAATGTGCAAACCAGAAATCACATTATTTCAATTCAAAATTTTCCCTGAATGGAGTTAGATAGATGACTGACACGACTCTGTTGTTAACAGGAAAATTATGATGTATAGGGGCAAACACTATTAAAAAATTCAGAACAATGTGAAGAAAAATTGCAGCCCAGCATTGCAACAATGTCACAATAAAATAATTGCTCATTTTGTTATGTACTTTTATTTTATGTTTAAAAGATGTCACATATTTATGTTAAATAATGATGTATTTATCAGTGAAGTCCAGAAACACAATAATGGTGAAAATCATTTCAAGTTTGGATAATATAAGTTCAAATTTCAAACATTTTTATACAACAGTGTGACTAGTGTTAATTAATGGAGCTTTCAAATAACAAAATGCTAGATAGAAAAAAATATTTTTATTATATTAATATATAGATGTATTGATAGTAATATAATTATTAACAATAATTGAATACATGATTCAAATTCTGCTCTGAGTTGATTTTTTCTTCTACGTGTGTTAAATTAATTTTATTAATTAATTCAATTTGATTATTTATAATTTTTAAGTTTAATGCAAGATAACAGCATCGGCTATTTCTAATTAGTTTCAAGCAGTAAATTTGTAAAATTTCATCATTTTAATTTAAGAAGTTCAGTGATAATTAATTGATATATATTTAATTTTTAACATAATTGGATAAACTAAATATACATATTTTAAGAATCTTTTATACTTTTTTATGTTTAGAACATTATTTTGCTTATGGCTCATTTTTTTAAGAAAAATAAACATATTAATGGTAACTTAAGAGGAAATAAAAATATATAATAGTAAAACAAATGATAAAAATTTTAATTTCAGATTTATGAAGATGATGTTTCAGAAGCTCTGTATTCATCAACAGCTTTAAATGCAATAGATTTTACTTTTAAGGCTGAGGACTATTTTGATTTAGATACGTGCAATCAATGTATTGATATTAAAATTGCCGATGGTATGACTATTGTTTTAAATAAAAGTAATGAAATAGGAATTGAAGAAATTTGCAAGTAAGTCAATTTCATAAAAATAAATTCTAAAAATTTTAATTTTTAATATTCTCTATTGGAAAGTTTGATTTAATTAATGACTCAAATAATTAAATATTTATTTATAGTTATTTTAATTTTAAAGTTTGTCTTTTGAATGTATGCAATTACTTATTTTTTCAACATCTTACTTATTATCAATTTCTAGAACTTCTTGTTTTATTCTTTCTGGTTTAGTTCTAAATTTATTTTAAGTGATTTGTTTATGTTGTTTGTTCTTTTGTGTTTCTATAAAATTTTTCGAAAACTAAAAGGACTACAGTTGGATTTTTTGGCATTGTAATATAATATAATTTTTATTAGTATGCATATTCAAGGGGAGTCAGAATTTTATATATGTTAAATGAGAAGAAAGTAAATTGCCACTTATACTAATTGATTTGTTAATGTCATAGTATGAAATATGACATCAGCTTAACTCTCGATAAAAATATTCATATCTGAAAGAATTTAGAAGATATAAAATAAAAACTTCTATAAGTCAGTTTACCATAACTATTGCCAAAGCTAAGCAACCTTTTAAACATTTATTATTATAATTTATAATAATAATAACAATAATTTTGTTAGGGTGATTAATTAAGGGTATAACATGTTACTGTACTTCTACCTTTGGACTATATTTTTTGGACTTTGGTCATGAATATACAATTAACATAATGTGCGTTTTTAAACTATTTTAGTTAGTTACATAAAACAAAATTATTCAAAATTAATATCTGCATAAATCTGGAGACCAGTGATCTTATTAGGGTGAGCAATCCCAGGAATTTTTAGGGGATTGTCCTAGCTAGATATATAAGAGTCCTTTCCCTCACTATTCAGTTGCCCCATTGTATACATAGGGCAAAAAGAGAGGGAAAAAATGTTTATAAGAATAAATTTTTTCTAAACTAAGAAATTAAATTATAATTGGAGTGAAACAAAGTAAACTATTTGAAATTAGAAACATACAAAAAAATAACCTAATTGCTGAATTAGGTTATTTTTATTTAATATAAATGTTGATGAATTTAGGATTATAATTTTCACAAATCAAACCTAAATTCAAAATTTCCAGCAAATAAAAGTCAAAAATACACATAGAACGTTTTCGGCCACTAAATTTATCGGCCTTCCTCAGGAAATATAAACTGGAAAAACTGTTCTATAAATAGAACTTAGCTGTCTTTTAAATTTTTAAAAGAACAAAAATGGCTGTGACGTATCATGTATGACGTATGTTATGAGTCTAGATAGCGTTTCCACACTGATGATACAGGAATGACATGCGTGTTGATGCAGTTTCCACTTAGTGGAAACGCTATCTAGACTCATAATATATGTCATACACGATACGTCACAGCCGTTTTCATTCTTTTAAAAATTTAAAAGGCAGCTAAGTTCTATTTATAGAATGGTTTTTCCAGTTTATATTTCCTGAGGAAGGCCGATAAATTTAGTGGCCAAAAACATTTGATGTGTATTTTTGACTTTTATTTGCTGGAAATTTTGAATTTAAATGTGATTTGCAAATATTACAGTTCCAGTTTTTGGTGAGGTTGTATTTATTTTGGATTATAATTTTGTAAATCTATGTATTTGTTTCAATTATTTACTTTGAAGCAAAATGTAAAGATTATAAAAAATTTAATCTAGTAAATTTATTCCAAAAATAGTATATATTAGTGCTTATATATTTAATTTTTTATTCTTAGAGCATTTTTAGACGGTCCTGGAGTGGATCCTAATCTTGTGAATAATGATTGGATACATAATCATTATACATGGATTGTATGGAAATTATCAGCAATGGAGAAGGCATTTCCGTGCATATTTTTAAAAAAGTAAATAATTCAGTATATATTTATCTGTAATTTTGGCAATTATAATTTTATACAGATAATGCAGATCTTATTTAATATTTGCGCATTTTAATATTAATTTAAAAATTTAATATTAAAGTATGTAAATCTTAAATTAAAAATTAATTTATTTTATATTATATTGATATGAAAAATAAGTAGTATATATTGTATTCAGTTTAAAATTTCAATATTATCAAGTTGTAAAGGTAAAATTTAGACATTTAAAGTTTTTCTAGAAACAACTTGAATAAATATTCTAGAATGTTCAATGTGTAGAGTAAGCAGGTGGAGTTTCATTACATTTTCATTGGAAATAGGTACATCAGCAATGCCTGAAAATATGAAACTTCAAACAGAAAGAAGTTTTGAAAGAACACGTTTGCATGCTGTATCTCTCTCACTTTAAAAGTGGCCACAATATAAAGAAGACTCAGTCTCATCTGCAAAGCATTTAACCAGCTGTTGCAAATGTCAAAGGGTTGATAATGCAGAAGAAGGCAATGATCTGCATTTTGCATCATCATTATAGGGGTTACTTTCATCCAAACAACGTCATTATCATGAAAGAACTCTTGTGAATAAGTAGATTGTTTGAACACCAAGATCAGAACTTGACAAAATCCGATACTGCCACAACTATGCACCAGCACATAGAGCAAATATGACTGTAGAGAAGATAGTTAATCTAGGCTGGGAGGTTCTGCCTCATCTACCTTATAGCCCAAACTTGGTGCCAAGTGACTACATCTGTTTTGTGGCCTGCAGAACAATATTGCCAATATTGTCAGTTAAGTGACAATATCCATGCTTGAGACTTTCTTCAAAGAAAAACCTCAGTCATACTATGCTCATGGAATAGAAAGTTTGTGCAAAGATTGTGAGATGTGATTTATATTGATGGTAATTATCTACAAGATTGAATTACAATTTAGTTTTGTAGATAATCACCATTAATAGAAATCACATCTTGCAATCAATATATTTCAATCACTAATTGTAATTGTTGTTGATTCAATTGGCAATAAAATATTTTTTTCAAAATGTCTAAATTTTATTTTTACAATCTGATAAAATTAATAAATAGAGTTAATGAAAAATATTTTATATAATTAAAATTGATTAGGTAGTTTTTTAAAAGGTTAAATTTAATATGTTATTTTTGTAAATATATTTATTATTTTAGATGTTTAACTCCTGAAAATGTGTTATTACAACTCAAATATCGTTATGACAAAGAAATAGATCAAAATCAAAGGTAAATTTTTAGGTTACATTTTGTTATAAGAAATTAATTAATAATAGTTTTAGATTTTTTGCTGTATTATGATTTTTGTTGTTATTGTTGTTGTTATGTTATATTTATTAATTTTAGAGAATGAACTTACATGATTTCAGTTTTTAAGGATTAAGATTTAGAGAAAGAACTGTAAATTACAAATTATTGTTATTTATTTTTTATCTAGGAGTGCATTTGCTAATAAATTTCATTAGAATTCAAGAAATACGAACATTTATATTGAAAATTTTTGACGTCTTAAATTTACATCTTATATAAGGAATAACAATGCCAAAATACTATTTTTATTTTTATATTAGGTTAACAGATTTGCTTTAACCTGCATTCTGGGGCATATGTATCCAGCATATACATATAAAAACATCATATAATCACATGATGTTTTTATTGAATTTCTCAAAAATAAATAATAGTTGAACTGTGGCTTTGTAATATTTCTGAACTGATATATTTTGAAGTGATTTCTACAGAGGTTTTCAACTTTATGACTTTTTCAGAGAAATTTTATGAAAAACAATACCTTACTATCACCTGCAGTAAATTCTCTTGCAGAATGAGAGAGCACTGTACTCTTGATTATTGCACATAACAATTACGATTCAATAAAATAACAATGTAGAATATTTAAGCTTTATCACGATGCTACACATTCTAATTTTTTTTCTCCTGCTTTCAATAACTGGACTAATTAAAATTTATTTCAAGTAAGTCATTGCAGCTATTTTTGATGTGATTTTCTCACTTTGATGTTATCACCCTGCTTTCTAGTGATCAGAGGATGATAAGAAATTGAATACTTTCAATTTTGCAACAATTAAAATTTATGTTCATTATGTAGCAATACCATTTAGTAATTGTGGCCCAAGCATTTATTTGGTAATTTTATCAATATTTTTTAAAATTATTAAAAATAAAATTATAGAATTTACTACTGGCAATACTAGTTGTTAAATCTAAAAGAAAACATTCTCCTGAGTGCAATAAAGCAATTTGTTATTCATTTGACCCACTACTGACAGAGAAGGGAGTTTTTGAAAACAAAGTAATAAAATGATTAGCAGTTTGTTGTCCTTCACAGTGTGGGACTGGCAAAGTCTTTACTTTTGTGGGAGACAATAAACTAAGCTTTACTACTTGAAAATTGAAAGATAATACAATCCTGTGAAATTTAACAAATATGATGTCAATAAGTGAAAGTTGAAGTGATTTATAGTGAGTTGAAATTTGTTAAGTTCAGTTTTTTGCATTTACAGATCAAATTACAGAAAATATTAAAAACAATCTCATTTTTTTAAACCCACAAGTATTTTATACTGTTAGATAGTAAAGAAAGTCTAGAAATCAAAGATAAAATTGTTGTCAAGCATATATATCTGTAAAAATATAAAATTTGCATTATGTATCCTGCAAAGACACATGCCCCAAGTGACTTTACAATACTGTAGGTGACCAAAGGAGAGTTTAAGTATAAATATATTTTTAACTCTTTCCACCCTATGGGCACTAAGAGAGCCTCTTTTTAGCATGCCCATTATGGGTTTGGCCAGGCCCACAATGGGGTGACTGGGCAGTGAGGGATGGGGCCCAACATATCTAGATGGACTACCCTCGAAAAATTTCCTGTGGATATTTGATCCCATTTGGATTCAAACCCAGATTCTCCAGAGTAGTAGGCTGCCATCTTGACCACTTGGCCATCTGGCCAAGTTAAATACAGTAGAACCTCGATTATCTGGACTAATTGGGGATGAAGGTAGTCCGGATAAGGAAAAATCCGGATAATCGAAACAGATACTTTAATTTGTTTTTTAATGATAATACAACACGTTTTCTTTTCGATGATATATCGGTAATATTAAAAGTAAATACTGTATTTAAATCGTGATCAAATTTTCAAGAAACAAACGTTCGTATTGAATTTGGACTACTACTGACCAACGCTAACAGACTACCTATTGTTTAAAAGGCCCTCTGGTGGCGCAAGAAGACGGATTTTATAAAATAAAAAGCAGTTGAAACTGCATTTTTATGAATAAAAATTTGACAAACTATTTATCGTTTTATGA